GTGCAGTCTATCCCGATACCGGAGACATCGGGCACGGTAGGGAATGAAGCGAGCATAAACCGGCTTGGCCAGCCGACGAAATCCACGCCCAACATTTGCCTTGACTGCCGAAACACTAATCAGAATATGGTCGAGGAAATGCCATTATGGCGAATGAAAGAAGGCTACGTACCGGCGGACAAAAACCCGGTTAAGAGGATACTGAAGTCTATCCCGACATCAGAGGCAAGTGCCACAGAAGCGGATGCTCTGGTGCAAGGGGTACAACAGAAGTACCAGACTTGGTTCTCGGGAGTACAGCGTTCTCTCGACGGACGGACGTTGGAGATGTTGGCCACTTGGCAATAGAACGGAGCGGTGACTTTCGACCAGATACAGGAAGCAGAACAGAAGTGCGAACCTGTAATAGCCCACATCGACGACATAGATGAGGAAGCTTAGGATTGGAAGGACGAACAAATCCCCATCCACCGACAGTACATCGAATATGGCCTTCCTAAGCCAAGTCCATTGGAGGTACCATGCCAAGACTAGGCAGCGCTCTCTTCAGCTATATGCGGCAAGTACTGTTGTACGTAGAATCGTCAACAAACTGCTTTCTGGAAACGGTACGGCGAGGATACTTCTATAACACGGAAAATCTCAGACCCGCCACTACTAGCTATGTAGCATTACCCACGGGAGGTATAGTTCCAAACAGGCCAAAGCGAGCCAGTTGAAGGGACCCAGGTTGGAGAAACCAACAGACCGGACCAATGTATCATTAGCCACGATAACATAATAGGAGTGATACGGGTGATACAAACTCACCACGACATGACTTGGTCGGACGGCAGACCATCGTCACCGGCACCTCCGCAACCGGAACGGTAGTCGGAAAACTCAGTTAACAGTCATCCGATGGCACGGCCACATAAGTCCACAGTTCACACCGACCTCGAAAACCAGGACGGAGGAAGTTGACCGATCCAGCCGACGGATACGACCGACCAGGGGGCACCGACCATAGAACTCGGACACAGTAACATGCCGAAAGCTGACCCTGAAGTCGGATCGGTCGCGGAACTCGAAGTACAAAGCACGAGCGACTTGCCGGACACAGATTCTGATAACCAACACTCGGATGACCCAGAAGAATCTGAGGAAGACGACGACGAAGGATTCGACCCGTCAGTCCAACATTGCCGGCCGGATGAAACCCGGACAAACGATTCGGTCAATGAATCATCAGAAGACAAAGAACCGACCTTGAAGATAGACTAACAAAAGCGTTTCGATACGTCGTTCGTACGGAAATTCAACCAGATAACCAACCGGAACAAACCGGACAGGAACAACCTGCAGCCCGAGGGACGGAGGCATGCGGATTTGACGAAGGAAACCACCTGCGATCGACCATAACCGTCGGCTAACCACCGCCAACCGAACAACCGACCTCGGCCAACTTGACCGACCAACAGAAGAGGGAGCGACCGCGCCCACAGAAGGTTCGGATTACTAAAATCGAAATAGCCGAGGAGATAGACCTTGACAACAGAAGCCCAAAAGTCTACCATCTAAAGTTGGAGGGAACCAGAAGTTTCAACCCGCGAGACCGACAAGTTGTGTTCAACAACGAACGGGTATCACTTCCAGTTTATTCGACGTGTTCCATCAAGGTACGGATTGGGAAACCAATGGACCCTAGGAGACGAATACACTTCGTGACTCTAAGGCGGAAAACCCGTCCTATCCGATCTATTGAGATGAGGATCGACATCCGACCCTCGACGGACACGGCATGGATTGAACACAACACATAAACTAAAGATACTTGAAAAAGGCGTAAGACCTGACCACATGCATTAAAAGGAAATCTACGAACCGACAACGAACAAGTTGTTTGGGAAATCCCAATGAGAATCGCCAAGACATGGCCGATTGAACCGAAGCCCAGAGAACTCTCAAAGTTGACCATCTACGAGTCCACAGGGGTAAAGGCTCAATGGAAAGTTACCCTCCTGTCTCGAACGATAACCTAAATTAATGTCGTCCTAGATGTACCGATAGCTCCTACGCAAGAGCTCATGTACCTAGGCGAATCGCACACCACACCTTGACGGAGTGGATATGATGGATGGTGCAACAAAGCACGACGGAAAGACATTTACCGTCATGGTGGCTAACCACACCAATATGGCTGACACCTTACGGAAAGGTGCACCAATGGGCCGAGTCGAACCGTTCAACATGATGACGGACGGTCAGAAGATCGTATAAGCCCGAGTTAACTCAACTTAGGTTAAGAAAAAAGACGCGGAATTCCAAAAGGACCGACGAAGAATTATCGACTCCATGAACTTCGGTAAAACCTTTACCGACAAGCAACTGGCCATACTGAAGGCTGTTTGGACCCAATCAACCGGCCCAAAAAAGGACGGAAATCAAAACGACCTGGGAACCCAGAAGGGAAGCTAACCCGAAAACCAAGAAAGGCGGCCGACGCAAACGTCGAAAACTAACCGGAAAAGCCGGGTAAGGCCGACCAACCTGAGCCAAAAGTTAAGAGTACTCAGTACACCTCCGCGGCCCAAGGGCTACGTGAGAGCAGTAGTAGGCGGACTACTGACTCAGCGAAGACACCGATCTGACCGCCGAGGATACCGGCAGGACCATTAACCTGAAGACCTGGGCAGGAAGGAAAAATTTGTGACCGGATGGTAACGCTCGACTTCGGACTCTGCTGGACTTTGCGGGGTCAAATTCATCCGGGCGGAGTATCCGACCCGCGGAACAGCCCGACGGACATTAGGATTCTAGGTGACATTGCAAACGACCGGGCGACGACGTCGATCCGTCCGACATGGCATCGCGGTCCAGTTTCGGATACCAGCCCGAGATGGCACCTCCCGGCTATCCCGGTGGAGAGCTGCCCTACCCGGTCCAACCTGTGCGTGCTGGAATTTTTCGGACAACGGGTTAGCGCGATATATCAGCTGGCCGTTATGGCGCAGCTTCCCGGCATAACGTTGCAAAAACCCGTCGATACGGGAAAACAGTTTGCCTTGACCAGATTACAGCCCGGCCCGGCACAGCGGCCAGCTGTTGGGGAACAGTGATCGGCCGCGGTTGCGGAACAACCCGACGATGTAGCCTGCCGACCCGAACGGACAGTGCGGCAACCGGAAAACGTGCCACGCCGACCACACCACACAGACGCTGCGGCAACCACTTCCAATGCAAATGTAGGATCGGTCACAGGATCAACAGGATCGATAGGAAAGCTGTCGCAACCGGATAACGACAGTCATAGCCACGACGACCGATATCAAGGAAGACCGTTGCCGCCGATATAGTTGGGCCCGACCTTGGCAAGACGTAGGGGAATCGCAGTCGGAGGGAGTGACCAAAGAGCGATCGCGCCGCCGACACGACCTGACTAGCTATAAACGGGAGGTGAGGAGAGAGAAAAGGTGTACAGCAGAAAGCGTGTCGGGGGACCATGACACCGGGCACGCTAGGCGTGCTGTTCGTCGTAACAATTGGTGGGACGGCCGAGCCGACGCCGATGTAGAGCACCCGCTCGGTCGGAAGGATGAGGGAAGCGACCGGGCCGGCATTGACCGGAATCGGCAAAACATCATCAAATCGCAGATGGTCAGGCGAGCGCTGCTGCTGGCTACCAGTCGGACATGGATTTTTTTATGTTCGATAGTGACATGCTGAAAGCGGACGGATGGGCAACCCGCTTCGCCAGTTGCACCAACAACAAGAAGGGATCGATACCGCCGAGGATGCTGAATCCATGATCAAGGTGAGCGGGGCTCTCAGCGGTAATGCGGCGGACTGGAACCAGGTACCAACGGCGGCCGAACAGGAGGAAGGCTGGCCGTTGAAGTTTGGTTGGCCAAGTTCTTGACAAGATTCGGCGGTCGGAAGAAGGACAAGAACGCCTTGGCGGAGGCCACAGACCTTTCGTTGAATGCACTTCAGGGCGTACATACACTCAGTGCAAGCCGTCCGCTCGCGACTTGATCCATGCACAATCTTCTGTCCCAGTTGTAAAAGAACCTTCTCAAGAATGCGCTTTTACGAATTCCAGCGAGAAAGTCAAAGTCGGCTTACGGCAATAGCTCAAATCTAGTAGAAAATGTAGCTCTAGATGGCCGTGCCCTTTACGTATTACTGTGGCGAATTAGCTGCGACCATAGTGCGGCAAATTAGCAAAAGGCTGTTTGAACGCAGTGTGCGGCAAAATAGCAAATGGCTATTTTGCCTACGGTACTGCGGCAAAATAGCTAAAGGCTATTTTAACGCAGTGTGCGGCAAAATAGCAAAAGGCTATTTTGACACACTGTAGAAAACTGCGGCAAAATAGCCTTAGCCGATCTTATTTGCTCCTAACAGCCTAATGTGATTGGCTGTAAGGTCCTTACATGTCCTTACAGTAAGGACATGTTGATTATTCGGGATCAGGAACTTTCGCCGCGGCCGTGCTTGTGGTGAAAAAGCAGCCCATGGCAGCTTGTGCTGGTGCGCAGCGATTTTTCTGGAGTGAAAGTTTTATTCTTGGGACATTTTTGCTTGTCCTCACAAGGCTCCCATAAATTACTCCATCGAGCCAGGAAACTTTATGACGCATGTGGAGAAGACAGGAAATATGCGGCATTATACAGCGTTTCAAGGCGGTACCTGGCTCTCAGGTTCAGCAAATCATACTTGTCAGCGCAGTCAAATATTTTCATGCACTGACTTGCATGATTTTCTGATCCATGACGAGCTCCGTGGCAAACGGTGGGTGAGTAAATTGGCATTGGTAAGTGCAGTTCATTTTAAAGACAGACCAGACCCACTCCGTTATTTCTGTTAAACTTTTCTTTTGTCCAGTAATTTAATTCGTACTGCCACTTTCTTCCGCTAAACACCGGGTGATTTTTATTTTGGAAATTTCACTCAAATTTCTGACAATTTAAAAAAAATTTGCCGTCAACTTCGCGAGAACTCCGCCATCCTGTATGGTTTCATTTCTTGATTTAGAACCATTTTAATTGCTTATACGGTTATACCAGCGCAGGCTTATTGTTCTCTGGACAGGCTATTACCTACTTCAGTTTTTGAAGTACTTATTAGAATTTATTGAGTCCCTGAAAGATGAAATGAATGTGAAGTCAACCAAAAATTACTGAAAGAAGGAAACGTTCTCTTGAAATTAATTACTCGTAATTAAGTAAGTGTTTACTCGGTGTCGAAGATCTGTCGCGAGGGCGACCGCTCGAGAAACTGTTAAAACGGAAATGCGCCTGCATTGGAGATCACATCCGGGCTGCAACCGCCACGATGATGAAGTTACGTGAGCATTTGCAAACGGCTTGCAAACTGCTCGAGTCTGAAATTTCTGAATTTTCCGCACTCTGGCTCTGCAGTCTGCAGTAGAAAACTGAACAAATCAAATAGACATTTGTGAAATTTTAAGATCTTTTTGATTGTTTTTCTCTTGTCGACTTGCCTGTCGTTTTTTTTCCAGCACGGCTTCTTGAAGGTACAGTTACTACAGTATTTTTGTGCGAAAGAAGGGAATGTCGACGACTTTCTTTCTGCTAACTGCTTTTTAAATTGCTGACTGATCACTTTTTCGTTCTGTTTTCCAGCTGGAAATTCCTGGAATTACAATGGCAACTAAGAATCCGGCTTCGTCGATCGTTCGGGAACAGGGCAAACCCGCTGCAGGAATTGTCAGCTGCATCCAGAAGTCATTAGCCAGCGGTGAGATGAGTGATGTGCGATTCGCGGTGGGACGACAGTTTGGCACCGCTAAAATCTTCGCAGCCCACAAGTGTGTAACTGCTCTCGTAACATCGACAACGACGATTATTAACAATGTTAGGTGTGTTTTTGCTCTGCAGGTATATCTTAAGTATTCGCAGCGCGGTGTTTCGCACCATGTTCCATGGGAGTTTGCCTGAGAAATGTGACGAGGCCATCGATATTCCTGATTTTATTCCCGAGGCCTTCGCTAACATGCTCAGGTAGGTCGAGTACGTAATATATGTGTTGCGTCGGTGAAAAATTAAGTTCGTTTCCCGTATCCTGTAGCTACGTGTACACCGATTCGCTGGAGAACCTCAGTCTGGAAAATGTCTTCCCAACGCTGAACTGCGCCGACAAGTACGATCTACCAGAGCTTGTGCAAACTTGCACAGACTTCATTACTAGCCGGCTTACTGAAGACGACATTCTGGCTACTCTGGAACAGGTTGGTTGCCGCGCCTAAGTTCTATATAATTCGATGTTTAGCTGATTACGGAAGTTTTCTCAATACGGATTCGGTTAATGGACACAAGAGACACGGTATTCTCAGCGTTGTTCTATATTTGAATTTGTTAAATTTTCTTTATTTCGCATACAATTGTAAGAGGAGAATCCTCTTTCCACACAGCAGCCGCCTATCCGCCGCCTACCTGGTTGGCTCAAGCTCAAGAACAAATATCTTGATCTTCGCCAACAGCGGCGATGGCACAGTGGCTGTGCTACGTGGATCTTACTCGGTAGCCAGCGGTTCGATTCCGCTCCATCGCCATTTTTCGGAATTTCCTCCACAGACAGGACTTCATCTGACCGCCCTCCCTCGCTGAGATCACCACGGACAGCCGACTTATGGCTGCCCCTGTGATACAATCTTACATAAAAACGATAATGATCACATAATCCAAATTTTAAAAAGTTTTTGTTATGCGGAACAACGCGCAGAATACCGTGCATCTCGTGTCCGTTACATTAATCCGTATGGTGGAAGTGACCGGAATGCGATCAATGTCAAATTACTGTTTCATAATGTCGGCGACAGGTCGGGTGTTTACAGGCGATGCACTGGCAGGCGGATGATGTTACGACGAAATGTTGGCAGTTGATTGATTCCAAGACAGGCGCCGTTCTGCATTCGGACCAGTTCACCGACATCGCTCCCCGGACGCTGCAAGGGTTACTGCAGCGCAGCAGTCTTTCGGCTGATGAGGAGTACGACATTTACCTGGCTGTGGAAAGGTGAGGAGAGTCAAGGAGTTTGTACTGGCTAATGACTTGTACAAACAACTGGTGATACTGTATGCAGACGTTTATATTGGAAATTATGTTGTATTTTATTAAAATGAGTGTTGCACCGTATAAACTAGTAAATACGGTTGGCTTTTGTGACACGAGAGACACAGCATTGTGTGCGTTGTTTTACGTAAGAAGGCTTGTATATTTGTTCAAAAATCGGATGCATAAAGTAATAACGATAATAATTTTCACTTAATCAGTATAAGTATTCCGTGTCCTTAATTAAAGGGAAAATATATTGCGCCAGTTGTGGTCCGACTTGTGAGTGCCTCGAGGGTTTGTCTGCTCAATGGATAAACTGACCTAAACCAATGAATGGAAGAAACATCAAGGGAGCGCATTACGTATTATCTGCAAGCAATTTCGTATCTTGGAGGAATTTGTTGTAGATGGGCCGCGGCTGCATGCCAACGCGCCGACATGGAGGCTTCGGCCGCTAACCGGCGCCAAGTACTGGGAGACGCTTTGTTCCTTATCCGTTTTCCGCTTCTGTCCAGCGCCCAGCTGACTTCCGGTCCCATTAAGGTAGTGATGCACCCAATTGTGTTTCTGTTAGAATCAACGTAATACATTTTTTGTTAATAATTTTTTGGTTATTTGAGGACTGGTCATTACAGTAAACACCACAACAGCGACAAAGATATACAGTAAACATTGTGAGATTGAACAACTGCGAAAAGTGAACCACTGCGAATATTGAACGCCCAGATAGTGTTTAGATTACACAGGTTTTACTGTAATTTGAAAAATACTTAACCTCGTAAATGTTGTTTTGCGGCAGGATGGTCTCCTTAACGACGCCGAGGTGTTGAGCGTGTTGATGTGCCAGACCGGCGGAGCGCAGTCAGCGCTGCCCTTTTCCACGGAGCGTCGCCGCGATGCCCTGATGCGGGCGGGCTTCAAGGTGGGCGAGGAGGTGTTTGCGCAGAGCCCGGCGGGTTACTGGTACTATCCTGCCAAAATCAAGGGATATCGGGCTGCCCATCTCCTGCTGACGTGGTGCTACAACGGGGAGGAAGGCACAGCGATGCGCTGCGATGTGATGCGCGCTGCAGCCGTCCTAACGAAAGGCCAGGGTCTGCATGCTTTAGTGGAGAAGGGCTACTATCGTCACGCGGTGTATGACAAGAAAATGCCGGGTGGTAAGCACTGCGTCCTCTTCAACCGTAAAGAAGTGGTGGTGCGCTTTGAGGAGCTGATGCTGGCGACTGACGCGGAATACGTGCTGGCTACCAGACAGATGTCGACGGCAAAGCCCATTGGTTCATGGGGTTGAGAAAGTGGATTGTAACGTCGTAACCGTGTTTTTAACCTGTTTCTGCTGCTCTCTACTGATGCGGGTTATGTTTTTTAAATGTGAATTTTTGTATTATTGACAGTCAGTGCTGCTTTGCAGGTGATTCTTTAGTGATGTGATGGAAATTAACAAATGTGAATTGCTTAACGGCATTTGAACACCTCGGTCACAGAAGTCGATTAAATATTAATTTATGGGCATAACCGAGGCCTCCAAAAGCTCCAAGAGAAAAAACAGAAAGCTGTCATAAGTAACTGTCAAATTTACCACGTATTCGGATTCGGGTGTGTAGTGTAATGTGGCCGGAATCTCGTGAATATGTCATAATGTTTTGGACATAGCAACGGAAGTTGCAGAGAGATTGTTGTTGTTATGAACGCACTTTCGTTGGTTGATAGCGCCTTCACAGGCGGATAATAGATAAAGATTATTAGGTTATTATATCAAAACCATGGAATGTTTTCGAGACTGTTTAATTCATTTTTGCTGTGCTGACAAATACGCACAAACTACAATCCACCACAGCTGATGGACATCTGTTTACTGTTCGTCAACATCCAACTGAACGCCGATAATCTTTCGGGAAAACGTTCGGAAATTGGGAATTCGTCCCAAATAACCAATTAACATGAGATGGGACCGTCCACAACACGCTCATACGGTATATATTGCCAGCAAAGTGTCATGCAAGCTGCACAATTCCAATGGATGAAAGGCGAACAATACAATTAGCGCAGTGACAGCACACCGCCGCCTGATGGGGGAGTGCAGCTTCCGTTCTCAAAAATGGCCCAATACGATGTGGCATGATAGTTCACTGTTTCCTGACGGCTGGAGGCTTGAGCAGACTGAGGCCACTGAGCACAGTAAGTACCTGAAAATTTTTAAATTCCCGCCGCTGCATTTCGAATTCAGTGCTGGTTTTTTAGTAAAAGCTGTTTGATTCTTTTTATAAGGGAATGTAGCTTTTTCTCTGGTCCTCCGGGAAGGTGTGTTTGAAAGGGTTAAATATGCAGACAGCGCGGAGTGGAAGTGACTGCATGCAACTGATGATTTTAGTGAATTGTCCCTTGCCGGCCTTGCGTCAAATAATTGACTTGTGGATTCCGGGAACCTTGTCCTTATTATAATAATGTTATTGCGCTGGAAATCGGAGGCGCCCTACAGTGATATGTGACGTTGCACGGCTGCAGGGAATCTGCAAATTGTTCTTGTCAGCGCCGTAAGACTAATTCCCGTACGCTGACTTGTGTAATTTTCTGATCCCCAGCCAAGCTCTTGCTTCGCTAAACAGCCTCGGCGGCTGCGACTCACGTAAGTTGGCGGAGTTCCTCAAAAAGACAAAAATCCCGGCCTCCTGTCCGAAAGTTAATTTCGATCTTCCCCTTTGCTTTTTGCCCTGTTATGCGAAGATGCAACGGATAGGATTTTAGTGGCCCCTAACTGGGCCAAACAGCCTACCCTGTAGGCTGTAGCTGCTGGTAGTAGGTCTTGATTGTTCCGTATTTGAATTTTTCGCGACGGCCTTGGGTAAAAGTGCATTCCATGGCAGTACAGGTATGTGCTTGTGCGCAACGATTTTCCTGGAATAAAGCTTTTATGCTTGCAACATTTTTGCGTATCTCACAAGGCTGACGTGAAAGGTTTATTTGTCGAGCCAGGAAACTTTTGCAACGCTTGTGGAGCAGGACTTTGAAATACACGGCGTTCCAAGGCAGCACCGGGGATCTGCAAATCATACTTGTCAGCGCAGTCAAATATTCCCATGCACTGACTTGTATGATTTTCTGATCCAGGCCGACCTGCTTATCTTCTGCAGAGCAGCTCGTCCTGCCGTCCTGTGGGTGAGTGCATGAACATCGGCCAGGTGCAGTTTATCATAAAAATAAAATCGAGTTACGTATCGGCTCCCGGTAAGTTTCGTTATTTTTGCTATTTCGTCAGGTTTAATATTAAAAATGCGTACTGCTACTTCTTTTGCCAAAATTTCCTTAATTGCTTGGATTATTTTAAAAATTATTTAATTAAAAGTCAAAAACCCACAAGGGTGTAAATTTATAATTGCTTACACATTAACTACTATTTGAAGTGCAATAATTTTCTGCTTTGCAGATATTTCAAGCAATCCCAGCACGGTATTCCACACCATGTTCTATGTTTTTTTTGCGGCTTGCCTGAGAAACGTGACGATGCCATCTCGATATTCCAGATTTTATTTTATTCCCGAGATCTGGGAGCATTTTCTGGCGTATGAGAAGAAAGACAGGAAATGAGCAGCGGCTGTGGGTTCTGCAAATCATACTTGTCAGCGCAGTCAGGTAAGTATTTCCATGCGCTGCCTTGTATGATTTTCTGATCACTGCCGACCCCCTCCCCCCCTGTTTTTCCGTGAGTAAATTGTAAACTTGTAATGCTACTTCAACCATTGCCGTTGCTCTAGGAGTGACATTCATTCCTCTCGCACCCCTCGAACCACAGCAGTGCTTGAGCATTAGTATTTGCCAGCCCAGGCTTGGGATTATTGATTTCCATATTTTTTGGCCGAAGTAAAGCATCATAGCTGATGGGTATGTAGTTATACTCGTACAGTTTATTTCCTCACAAACGTAAAAAATATTTATCTTCTGTATCTTGTCATAACGAATAATCGGTACGTACCACTTAAGCTTAGGTATCCATGACACAGAAGCCGATGCGCCGGATTTATTTCAAACTGGCGGTGCAAAAAATTCACAAGATTTTTATAAAGTAGATTTGACTGATTACACCGCCTCAGCCGACGACGGAAATATGCGGCCTAATCACGCAGAACATTTCGTCTAAATAAACAGCCGAAGCGGGTGCTGCTCCCATGACAGAAACCAGCGGATGAGCCTTGAAATCCAGCGCTTTCCCGCGCTGGATTTCGATGCTGATCCGCTGGCGTGGATACTCCGTCGCCCGTATCTCGCCTTGTTTCCTATCGGATCATCTTCCCGACTTCGGTGACCAAGCGGGAGGCATTCGGTCGGAGTGTTTCGAGGCCTACTGCACGGAACATGTATTCTTGGGTGATTTCGCGAGACTTTGCCACTTTATCTTGCCCTGTCATGTGTCTGTGAGCATAACCGAGGCCTTTAAAAAGACAAGGCTCCAGTATAAAAAGACTAGAAAGCTTTCATATTAATTTTGCAGTACGTATGCAAGTCAATAATACAGTGTGTCGGAGCTTGTGTACCGATAACAGAATGGATTATGCGCTGCTACAGTACGTATGGATGTTAATTTCCTGGGACTGCATGTGACGCTTAGAATACTAAGTAGCAGCCTTGCGATTGATTTAAAGATGCCCAGAAAAGAACTGATGAATGCCACTCATGCAATATGCTCCTAAGATAAGATTTTCGAAGATAGCGGAGTTTAGAATTCTCAAGGCGCAACAATTTCAACAAAATGTGATCCGAGCTGGGGGAAATTTGTATTTTGATTGTCGATTGTCATCAGTGAGCGATATCAACCGGCAACCGCCACCCAAAAATTATGTAACGCCATTAAAAATATATATAAAACAATAAATAAGTGAAACAAATCTAAATCGATTGCACCGGAAGTTTTGATAACTAATGGTGCTGAATAACCTATCGCAAAGCCAACCGCACAGGACACTGGTGAAACGGAAGTGCGTGTCTGCGTTAATGCAGAATGCCTAGTCGAATGTCAACCGCCACGATGATTGTTGCCGCGGGAAGATCTTTATCGCTGTTGCGAGTTTTGTTGCTGTTTTTGGCATTTTACAGCAGCTGTCATTAGTCAGCTGTTCTCGTGTTACTACGGTGTACTGGTACGCACCTTGGTACTGTAAAGATTAACAAGACTAAAAAAATTAATAGTTAAATGCCTTTACTCCTTTTTACGATCGTTAGTGCGTACTTATTTCGATTAATCAATAATCAACAACCTGCGAAGGGTAGTTTTTATTGGAAGTATGTGACTAAAGGTTTTGTCTTAATTGGGACATGTAACCCTTGTTATGCTTGCTACATTTTTTGCTGCGTTTTAAACGGTTTTTGGGTACTCTCTGTGATATCTACTACAGAGGGTGATTTCGCAATATGCTTCCAGCACGGGAAAATATTCCCGAAAATTTCCCTTTCTATTCTTTTAATCTGTTTGGCAACTAGTCTTGTGGGATAAAGTGTGCCTAATTGTTCAAAATAATTTGTTTAGTTCGAGCGATAAACATGGCACGAAAAACCGATTTAAGAACAAGGTACCGTGTGCCGGCGCTATCAACAATTTGTAAAAGCCACAAAAAAATCGCCGAGTGTTTGATGAGCAAAGGGATCGCTATTTCTCATACTACAGTGAATAAGATCTTGAAACTTTATGGGCCCGAGAGTGAAGGGAATGTTTCGCCTGTAAAACGCCGAGAAACTCAGTGCCTACCCAAAGTTCCCACAAAGTCCCTCATCGCCGAAGTCAAGAGGGTTATCTCAACACCGAATCCACCGCCTCAGAGTCAGTTGGCAAGGAAATTTAGGACATCCTAGTACATGATATCGAAGATTGTTCTTCAGGATATTGAAGCTAAAGTACGTAAAAGAGTCAAAGTACATCCCCTATCCAATAAGCAGGCAAAACAGCGTGTTTCTCGTACTCCCCGATTTGCCAAATTTCTGAACCAGCGAAATTTACTCCACATCATTTTAATCGACGAAGCATGAGTCTATCTTGATTATACGGGCAAGCGAAGAAAGATCTGCTACTAGTTTAAAGGATCCAAAAATCCCGAAAATTTGATAAAATTTTGCAAAGTTAAAAAACCACTAGGTGTTATGTTTATCGCCGGAATTTTTTATCGTGGCCTAACAGTGATCCGGTTCATTCCTCCCACTCCTAAAATAACCGCCGATCTCTACATACAAAACGTGTTAGAGCCATTGGTGCAAGCAGACTTCCCCCGTGTCTATCCAGGTGAAGAAAGGAAGGTAGTACTGCATCAGGACTCCTCTCCCGCACATACTTCCAAAGAAACCTGCCAGCGGCTAGCTTCTCGCGGCATCCGAAACATTCCGAAGGGCTTGTGGCCGAGCAACCCACCGGACTAAACATCCATGGATTTTGGAACGAATGGGATTTTTAAAAGAATTTTGTATCGCAAGTATGCAGCGTCGCTTCGCGGTTTGTTAACAGTCGCGCGCCGATCTTTGTCTAGTATTTCAATTACCCTGAGCCGTCATATACTTCTTTTCTGGCGTTATCGTGTGGAGTTGATGGCAGAGAAGAAGGGCTTTCAGATGGAGCAAATATTAAAATAAAGTCAATGCAGCGGAGATTATAATAAATTTATGAGTAGAGTGGAAGCATATTGCGATTCATCACCCTCTGTACGCTCCTGCTGCCACGTTAATGTTTTCTCTGAAATGCAGATTAATCATTTTTATGAATCCGGATCTTAACTAACAGCAGAATATTCGGAAGTCAGCATGGTGTCCCCGAATCCTTCGTCGCCCGGTCCTGATCAACCAAGACCAGTTTCGGGAATTGTCAGCTGCATCAAGAAAACTTTCGCCAGCGCAGATATGAGTGATGTTGAGTTCGCTGTTGGTCGGCAATTTGGATCCGTAAAAATCTTTCCAGCCCACAGGTAAACCTACCGATGATACGAGTACAGATAAGACACAACTCAGTCACACAGGTAAGTGACAAGTGAGGGTACTTAACTGTTTTCCATATTTAACTATCTATATTTAACAAATTATAAATGCGTATTGCATGCAATCATTCTAGTTAGTTACTACCTAAAGCTTATGCTTACGAAATCCATGTACATACATTGGCGATACGATACAGTTTTTCAAGTTGAGGGTTATCTGCTTCATATTAACTGTCTTTTCAGGTATATTTTCAGTGTGCGAAGCACGGTGTTCTACACCATGTTCTATGGCAGTTTGCCTGAGAAATGTGATGAGCCGATCGACATTCCCGACTTCATTCCCGCCGCATTCGGCAACATGTTGAGGTGCGTATACAGTAAGCAAGGTTTGAAATGGGTTGCGACCGTTGCGCGACGGAACAGCGAAACATGCCAATTTGTTGGAAACGCTAAGAACCTGGGGGCGCCACGCCATGATATTAGGCTGTATTTCAACTTTCAAGCATTCGACATTACTTTCGCTGTTGCGCACGACATATTCGTTAAATTATTGTTTTGTGCTTATGTACCGCTGTCGTGTGAAGAGACTCTGTACGGATTAGTGTAAGAGACTAACCACTTCCCTGCCACGACTCAATCGGTAGAGCAAACTCTTAAATCAACTGTTACAGTAGAAACTGGAGGAAACTATCAGGAACACGAAGAATCTGGAATCCCTAAGCAATTGTGCTGGATACTCCTAACTTCCGGTCGTTACATATGCGGGTCGGACGTAGTACGAGCATACCGTGTTTACCACGCTATAATCCGATACAAATTACGAACGTCGATAATCACAGAAGATGCTTTACTCCGCTAACACACAATCATATGCACAACACTGGAAAGTTAAAAGCAAGTAGTCTCGAAATCAGAAATCCAAGACTGCTGTCGATATTAGAGACGACATGAGAATTTATAGACTAGCAAAAGTAAACATCAAATACACCGCTAAGCCATAACTGAGTAACGAATCATGGAACTGATTAACTGATATCCGTGTTGCACTTGCAGGTGAAGGCGGACAATCAGTGGATGTACGGTGGAATCTTCGTACGTACTCCTCTCCACACGTCACCCCCACAAACGGTTTTTTGCTCCCGCAAACATAAACAAATCCATCCAGTCCATCCCGCTGGATTGTGTAGCGCTCCATCGTCCATCCTGATCCTCTCTCCCATCCTGCACAATCCGCGCATGTCCATCCGATGCCCCAATGACTGTACGCCTGATCCGGTTAGTGTTAGTATAGGATCCTCAGCGTCGATGGCATCCGGAAGTCCATGGGATTGGCGAGTGGAGGTCCAGGATCCAGGGAGGCTAATTTCTACTACTAACTACTATTGTGCGGTATAATTGTGATATTTGTCTGTGATGTACCGACTGGCACAAGGCTTTATTTACGCGTTTAAATGTACTGAAATGCGCTGTGAATATTGGTTTATAAACGCAAGAAACAGAAACGATAACTTCCGCTGCTTTTGATCAAAATTGCGTAAAAGTGCAATAACGAAAACGCACGGAATCTAACATCCATCAAACTCAACGCAAAAATTATACTACGGAATTTATACAAAATAAAACCTTAAGTGCAGAATCAACACAAAACTGCTCTTCCGTCACAGCAACAATTATTCCTTACGTGGATAATTATGCAGGCTAATGATGGAGACAAACTTCGGCTGCACGTCTTCCTTGTCTTCGTCGACATCCATCGGAATGACTGGACGATACGGAATCTCTTCAGACGGAGCTCGAACCACAAGTTCAGCTACTGGCTCCTCAGGTTCATCCTGGTGCTGTTCTCCTGGTTCAGACGGCTCTTTCTCATACTGCTCATACAATCCTTCAGACCATTTGTCGTATGCATCGACATCTAAGGTATCAGGAGCAGACCACGGTTCGTCAGGGTTCTTCTTAATCAATGTACCCGACGAATTATTCGTCAGATGCAACTTCACTGATCGAATCCATCGCTGTTTATCCTCATCATCCTCGATCACGTCGAGAATCGAACCAACCTGCTCCTCAAGAGCATACTGTCGATCCCATTCCTCATTCTGACGGTGAACTTCTTCCATGTTTTCCGTCGACTGAATATAAACCATTGTGGCAGCTAGCATCTGCTCACATTCTGCCTTCGCACGATCATACGCTTCTAATGCTTCAATGCCTAAACGTCTCGCTCGACCGGTAATGATACGACGCGGCATAATGAAGATCGGGACGCAATTGAAAATTAAAAGTATTCAGAATTGAAAAGTAAGATCTGAACTGTGCAGTGCAAAGTGATACTAGATAACAACTGCGACTTTTCCACCAGCTGCATCGAACTGTGTACAGTACACTGTGCGTGATTTTACGCAACCTGCCATATGAAAGGAGTGTGCACCGGAAGTGGTGATAATTCGGATTTTATTCTTTTTAATTTAAAATTATATCGCGTATTACCCATAAATAAATAGCAATTTTATTACCACACGTTATTGTACAGTATCACAAGTTCCATATGGATTAATCCAATCAATCCAATTAACATAGTTTAATTAACAATGGACAGTTGTTCTCCGTTTCACCACTAAAAAACAGTCCAAATGAATTTTATTAATAATTTTAATTTAAACAGAAAATGGCTCATCATCGATGTAGAATTTACGCGGCTTGCTCTCCGAGCTACTGGATTTTGATCCAGATCTGGACTCTTTCAACGGAGATAACTGCTGCTGATGGAAGGTGGCATATCCCTTCACGATTGGTGGTGCTGAGTGTGGCTCCACATGTTCATCGTGAGCTTTGCGCTTCTGTCCGACGATTGTTCCTCCAAACAACAATGGTGCGATTTTCGACCAACGCTGAGCACTCACATTCTGGCGAATGAAGGTTTTCGAAGCCAGACGATCTTTAGGCTGCACTGTGTCCACGAGATCCAACGCTTTACCAATCAACTGGGCGGCGCGAACCATCTGATGACTGGGTTCGTCTTTCTGTGCATAAGAATATCCAAGCTCCGGTGCGGAAAACGCTGAAGATGTCGACAGTGTTCGCTCCGACAATGGTGGCGAACCAAACTGCGTAGAGGCTAGAGATCCTCGTCGATAGGCATATCCGACAACAGGAATCTTATTGATAGATTCCAGGGACACTGCAGCACGAGCACTAGCTGCACGCTTCTCTTCAATATCCGCTGTATAACGTTGGAAAAAGGAGACAGATCGCTTGCGTTGAGCCATCTCACAGTATCACACATACACTAGCGGGAATAGCTAAAAATTAATCTGTATAATTTGAAACTGCTACGATACTGGCTGATATTCAACTCCGGTCGCGGAGTTAAAATTACTGCGAAATTAAAAGTTTACGAGTTCGAATACGGATACGACGTACAAGTGCATTGTATTGCACTGCTACAAACGCGCTATATAATTTCAACGTAACTGCGATTACTATGCGAGTGTACAGTGCATACTTTATTTCCGGTTTGACTGTTTTTAATTCGGATTTAGTTCTTTTTTTCTATTGATTACAAGAGAACCAGAACTGCACGACTTTTTCTCGTTTTTATTATTTTTTTGGATTTTACTTTTCATTATTTTAGGGTCCCTGAGGGTTGCATACGGTCAATCCTTCACTGGGACGACGGTCTAATCCGAATTTGTCCCAAAACACACATCAGTAAAACAACAACAACACAACAATGGCCTTCCGAATGACAAGCCATAATTGACAGCAGTAAAATCCAAAAGTAACAAAAAATAAAATGAGCAACAAGATTCAGGGTCATATCACAGAAACAATAACAAGATCAAAACATGGGGAAAATGACCAGCATTAAACAAAAATAATCGAAAATTAATGCATTACTTGCTGCTACTCGGCGCCAAGGAGAATAATCCGGTTTGGCCAACATTCGACGAGGCTGAGACTGCATCCAAACGGCGACTAACCTCTTCGGTCATCTTACGGCGCTTTTCCATCTCTGCTTCGCGGTGTTTCTGTTGCAGTAACTCTTGATCCGCGACGAAATTCGGTACAAAATCATGCGACGGCTTTCCGATCCTATCACGCGATGCTGAGCGGTCACGCACTGGTACTGCTGCTGGTGAAACAAATGGTTCAACACCCGGTGGCAGTCCTGGATGCGACGACAACGGAACAAGCTGCACACTCACCGGGGCCACTGCAGGCACAACAACACCAGAAGGAACAGGCAAAAGGTCACTTACGCCACTATTCGCGCCTGATAAATGCCGATCAGCATGAGGACCAACGGGGCCAGGCGGAACCACAGGTCCATGATTCGGGTTTTCAGCTGGTGGAGCCGGCGGCGCAGGTTGCGCGGCATCGACGTCCATAGGGACGCCGGGATCCGCCACGCGCTGAGATGGATCATCATGTCCAGCAGCAATCTGATTAGGTGGCGGCTGCCCCAGGGGTCTGCCTCCACGAATCCAAGCTGGTGGGCCACGACGGAGATTGTCGACTCCGTGGCCTCGCACATGTTGACCGCGACGCGACTGAAATCTTCCACGGAAACCGCCACGGTGGTACCCACCACGGTATCCATGCTGCTGGTGCTGTTGGGAGGATTGGAAAACGGCATCTACGAGCTTTTCAAAAGCTCGATTCGGATCAATCGGCGGCATCACTCCGCATAACACACAACAAAAACGATGCCCTTTCGCTCACACAACAAGAAATACCAAAAATTACACCGGGAACTGAAAAACTTCTAACACGCCGGTGCGGCGCCGAAAAAGTGCAAATTCAAATGAGACAGCACTGTGCCGATTCACTCTGCAGGTGTGCGCTTTTATACTGCTAATTTACCGATTTGTACCGCTACTGGTACGTGTGGAAACTTCCCGGCAATTCTGACCAATCACAACTTGCGGTTAAAGCTCTTTTAATTCTCTTAAATTCCGTTACGTCATCGGCGACTGGATACAGATTCAATCTTCCGATAAAACTATTAGACTAGGCACGTTAACAAAAGACTACAGATCATCAGCCAACAAGGCGATTTGGCGATCAGATAAAATGCAAATTAAAGGCGTTCAAAACTACCGGTCGCAACTGCGAGATTGTGAACAACACGGAAGCTTTCAAAATAGCGAAAGCTCCGCAACAACAATAAGCGCATGATGAACAACAAAAGAAGCACAGGTAACAACGATTAAACTGCTGAAATTACTTAGCCTTAATAAAAATAGATGGCACAAACGGATTCTGCGGAAACATGCCCTTGTTGTCGAGAATAGTGCTCGGAGGTGGCGTTGGTTGACCGTATTCTAACTCCATTGAGCGTGGTTCTTCTGCTTCTTGTGGGGCCATGTCCACTGCCGCTACGTTAGCAGTTTCGGCTGGAGCTTCTTCCTCTTGCTCGACGATTTTCAGCGGCTGACATTCTTCCGTATCATCTGCATTAAGTACCGCCACTAACTCGTCGAAAGTCGCGTTGCCCATTGCGACTTCTGCAGCTGTCTTCTTTGGGATAATTGGAGGATGCTCGAAATCTGGCATGGGCACATTTTCATCGTCTGAATACGTGATGAGCGAGTCGGCAAAGATCTGCATCTGGCGCTCGTTTTCACTATCGTCACCAGTCTCATCCTCTTTTTGAGCGTCTTTCTTTTCCATCGGTTTGGTAGTCATAGATAAAGGCTGGAGAATGCTAACAGCCTTCGGTTTCTCCGCTCTACTTCCGCTTTCACCATTCATTTCGTCAAGTTTGCGCTTAACGGAGCCCATCAGATTGTTAAAACGAGTCCGGCGCTCTGCTTTACTGCGTTGAAGGCGCTCCCATTCCGTTTTAGTTTCTTCACTGGTTACAGAACTGGTGGAGTGATCCGTAGTGGAACCGCTATCCGTTTCCGTATCCAGCGGACCACTGCTGTCACTGCTTGATTCTCCAGTATTTCCACTATCCGATTCAGCTGCTCTTTCCGCGTCCGCTTTAATATCCGCTTGCTTTTCGGACAAATCTTTAAGAATACAAGCAAAACCAGGATGTACATAGATATACTGCCGTCGTAATTCCCAACATAATTCAGGCGGTAATTTGTCAGTCCATTTCGCAAAGTCGTAACGGTGTATAAGCTTTCCCGAATAAAACAAGAACTTCGACAACCAAAGTCGTGAATAATACTCACCATCCTTGTCAATGCCAGGGTGATGGGCTTCAGTAATAGCTGCTTCATCAGATTCTTTAGCGACAGCTAAATCCGGGAATTTCTGAATGACAGTATCAACAGATGACGGCTCGGATTCCGAGTCAACTCGTCCCAAACCCACAGCATTCA